CTGGGAGTTTTGCTCTCTTTGGCTCCACAGAACGTCATGAATTGAGGGGCGGTGGATATAAATCTATAAGAGCTGCAAAATGCACTTCAATTTACAGTAGAAATAGTCCTGCTGCCTCAGTGCAATTATATTAAAAGTGTGCAGGGCTAGTATCAGCTAATATTAATTAGTATTTATTACGTGCTGTTTCCCAGGGCTGCCCTAACAAAGTACCCCAGACCGGGGGGCTTAAGCCACAGAAATGCATTGTCTCCCAGCTCTGGAGGCTGGAAGTCTGAGATCAGGGTGTTGGCAGGGTTGGCTCTTTCTGAGGGCTGTGAGGTGGGGAGTACCTGTTCCATGCTTCTCCCCAGCTTCTGGTGGTGGCCGGCGATCTCTGTGCCCTCTGGCTTGTGGAAGCAACTCCCCAGTCGGCTTTCATCTTCAATATGCCATTCTCCCTTTGTGAGTGTCTGCGTCTAAGTTTCCCCTTTTTATGAGGACACTGACCACACTGGATTGCAGTCCACCTGAATAACTTCGTTCGCGTTAACTTATTACGTCTGCAATGACCCTCTCTCCAAATAAGGTCATGTTTTGAAGTCCTGGGGATTAGGGCTTCCACACATAGATTTTGGTAGACGCAATTCAGCCCGTCAGTGCTTTGCACATACTTGTGATTTTATTCTCTCAACACTTGTAGGTAGGTGATGTTACTCTCATTTTAAAGATGGGGAAACTGAGTCTTAAATAATTCAGTGGTTTGTTCAAGATTGCACAGCCAGTAAGAGGCAGAAGCAGGATTTAGAACCTAGACACTCTCCTTCTAGAACCCAGGATTTTAACTACTTTATTGTACTATGTTACTTCTCCGTAAGTCATTTTTTACTTCCCTTTCCCTTATAGTTGCAGGAAGTTAATTGTCAGAAACTAATAAACTGAGTAATAAAATTTCTATTGTACCCTAATGCTGCCACCTGGTGGAGGAAACAATTAAAGCAGCTTCCGGATTCCTATCAAAAGTTGCCTTACGCGAAATGCTCACCAGCCTTTTCCTCTAATTACACCAGTACAGACAAGCAACTATGAATTCTGCTGGATCCTGCTTTGCCCCAAATTTAAGGCATCTGAGGAAAAGATACGAATAGAATAGCTCAAATTTTGAGCCCTTGATGAGCTCAAAATTTTGCTGATTAAAATATGCAACCCATGTTAATAGAAAACTCTTGAGTGCCTATTCTGTGGTAATACATATTTCACAGCTTTGTATTTTTGAAACATATACCAGGTCTTAATTCTATTTTGAAAAACTGGTTTCTCCTGATGCCCTGGCTCTAATGACTCATTCTAGACCCTATTTCATTCTGCTGTTCAGATTCAGGATTTGAAAATAACTTGAGATTAGTTAGCAATCACTAACCAGTTGCTGTTCTTTGAAAGAAGAAAAAAAAGAGAGGACGCACAGATGAATCAGCTTTGCTGTTTTTCCATATCTGAGCGTGCAGCTTCCTAGGCCTTCATTTGGCACCTACAGTTTGCTGTCCACTATTTGGTTATTAATTTATTATTTTATATCAGTGTGGACTCATGGCTTCCTGTTTATCCAATGGGTTATAATCTATAATTACATTTAATTAATTAATTTATTAATTTATTTATATTTTTATTGATGTAGAGTCAGTTTACAATGTTGTATCAATATCTGGTGTACAGCACAGTGCTTCAGTCATATAGGAATATACATATATTTGTTTTCATATTCTTTTTCACCATAAGTTACTATCAGATACTGAATATAGTTTCCTGTGCTATACAGTTATAATTACTAACAGATGCCTCCCTTCCTCTGATTTACCTGATGGCTTTAGGACCCAAGTGTTCAGGAACAGAAAGGAAGGGAAAGGGAAGGGAGACTAGAAAGAGCTGCACACAACTGAACAAAACCCAATTAAAAAAGAAACCAAATTATAACACATTCTCTTTCACTCACTCGTGTTCTGCTGTGGCTTCGTTCCCCACTAGAACGTAAGCTCCATCTCATGTCTCAGTTAGCACGTAGTCAGCAGTCTGTGTCTAGCACTTAGCATTTCTCCTAACACACAGTAGGTATGCTTAAAACTGCCTTAATGAATGACATAAGGAAAAAAGAGCTCTGAAGCCACCCTGTTGGGAAATGTACATAACCTACAACCCAACTTGTCTAAGCCTCAGCCTGACCTCTGGCTGTGTGCCACGGCTAGCACCGTGTGCGGCACATAGTGGGTGTTCAAGAAATTATTTTTAAGTGGCTGGGCCCAAGGAATTAGCTGATATGTACATCTCACCTATTGTGTGTCACAGTGGGGGAAAAAAAGCTGGAAACTATGGTTTTAAATGATGAAACAGGTGGTCTACATTTTCAGATGATACCAGGATAAGTTCAATGTTCAGTCTGAACATGAAACAACATTTAACAAGTGTTGTTAAATTAGTGAAGGGCAATTATCAGAGATAGAAAGGGAGCTGGTAAATCTGAGGAGGAAAAAAGAAATTGGGTAAGTAAGTAAGACCAGCTGTGTGCAAACACAAACCAGGGCAATCTGTGAGTCCAGGGGAGCTAAGACACTGACAACAAAAGGACTATGCAGAGGGCTCGCTCTGACTACAACCTAAAGAATGGGTCCTCATGGTAAGTTTTAGCGACATAATCAAGTTGTTACCACAGTTCGCCAGCTCCGGATTACTTGTTATGAGGCTTCCTTTTCCCCAGGCAGCCGGAGTGCTTTTCAAACTAAAATAACTCAGTTACCTCCCCTACCCAGGTGAGTGTGAAAAATGGGTCCTGCAAACTTGTAAGTTGAAATATTTAGGCGATTTGACATCAATCTGAAAGATGAACTGTCCATCCATCCAACAAGTATGGATGGTCTGCTCCGTGCGAGGTGCTGTCTGGGGTGCAGGGGGTACACGGCTGACAGGGCGGATGGGACTCCCGCCTTCTTGATGCTTGTAGCCTAGTAGGGGCCAGAGTACAGGGAGACAGGAGAGGATAAAGGGTCATAGAGCCGGGAAGATCTGAAGCAAAAGTGGGAACTTCGATGTTTGGGATAATAAACCAGTCCTTCTGGGATCACTCTTTTTGCTTGAAATATTGTAACTCCACAAAACACACTTCCCTGAAGCAGGCATAAATGCTGTTACTACCCACCGTGTTCTCTGCCCCAGGAGGGCAGGCAATTATGCAGGGACCACAATTCATTACTGCTCTGACCCAGACTAGTTAACTCTGCTTAGTTTGGGCCTCCACGTATGAGAGAGTTACAAACCTTTCAAAAACAAGATAAATGAGGAGTGGTTAAAATAATAAGATTATCAAGCTGATAGAGGGATGTTACTGACGATTTAAATAACGGCCTTCAGAACTGCATATGGTAAATGAATGATAAGCCACTTTTCTCTGCCTTTGAGTCTGAAAGTATTTGAAACAGATCCCAAAAACAAAAAGGCAAAATCATTAGTATTATTACTAATATTATGTCGATGCTGCAATAAAACAAACAAACACGCAGACAGAACAACGTGTATATCAGAGCTGGGAACACGCATAAGCCCAGAAGCCAAGATTCAAACTTCGCTTTTAGATCTTTCCAAGTTTGGTTGTCAGGAGAAAGAAAAAAGGTCCCTCGAGGCCACATGCAGAGGAAGGTCTGCAGACACAGACTAACATTCTGTTTCCTGCTTTTTATTTGATTTGATTCCTTGGGGAAAAAAAACAGATATAAGAGTCACTGATGCACAGGTCAGCGTGATGCTAGCACACATGGGCTTTGAAAAGCTCCTGCCATTTCTGTCTCTTTGTGATTCTGTGCACTGCTGTTCAGAGCAAGAAAAACAAAGCTGGAGGTTGATTTCCCGAACTCCACAGCCGCAGCCTTTTCCCCGCCAATGAAAGCACTGTCTCTTGATAGTCACTTCCGACGAGCAGTTATTTTACTTTCTACGATGTGCCAGACCCTGGGCAAGGCGCTATCTCAGCAGTCGGAGCGGGTGAGGGGCTGGGATAAGGGGTACAGCCCACACTGGGGATCCAGCAGGGGCTGTCGGGGTCTCATGCTCACCCCCAGGACCTGACCTGAGCGCTGTCGTGGGCCTTCTGAGTATTTTCCTTATAGAAAATAGGAGAATTTTGCTTTTCTCGTCTCCCTCATTCCTGTCCGTGCATCCTAATAACCGTAGATTTCATTTTCCACCCAGCCAGACTCCTTGCTCCTCCCCGCTCGGTCCGGGGAGAACTCGTACACGTCGTTGGTCACGAAGCCGCCCTCCACGCTCACCAGCGTCACGAAGCCGCTCTCGGACGGGTTCACAGCCATGTTGTCGTAGTCACAAGACACGGCGTCGGGAGTGGCTTCTCCCGATCGCACTCGGAATGAAATGTTCTTCGCGTCTGGCCGCGTGTCGGCCAAGTCCGCCTCGCTTTGCTTCCGTATGACGTTGTAAACCTCCAGGTCCGGGCTGTTCCCGGGCTGAGCGGCGGGCCAGCGGGGATGCTGCGCCTTCGAGCTGGGGCCCGGCTGCTCCCGGCTCCTAGGAGGAGAGGGAACCAGGGCTGAGCAGGCAAGGGGGCCGGGGCATCCCGTGCCTCCCGTCCTGGGCGGAGGGCGCCACCCCGGGCAGTCGCTGCACGCGGCGCTTCTCACCTACAGGTGGGGGCTGCGGGGTGGGGCGGGGCTAAAACAGGAAAGTGGCCCTTGTATCTATCAGCCACTGCTGCCAGAGCACGGAACAGTGGTGGTGATCCTGGGACCCCCAGAGCCCCCAGAGGGTCCACGGATAGAACTGCATAAGGGAAGATACCGCATTAAAAAAAAATTTCTAAGTGAAATTTCCCCTGTCCTTCAATTCTGAATGTGGGCAGTCAGTCTGAGGGGAAGCAGTAATACCTTTGACTTGATCACCAACAAAAATCATAGACATTTTCATATCACATCACAGTTCTTATTTAAGATGCCTTAATATATTTTATGCTCATCTCTACGTCAGTATTACACCCACCACTAAATTAATAAAGAAGCCCATGTATTACTATTTCACATTCATGTTTGGAAATACCTTGCTAAACTATACATCAATGTTATTGCTTCCCTTGCAATCTGATGTATTTCATTTTATGCATTTAAAATATTGTTCTGGGAAGGGGTCCACAGGCTTCACCAGATTGCTACAGGGGTCTTTGTCACAAAAAGAGTTAAAAATCCCTGAAATAGACTCCAGCGTTAAAGTCACAATTCCCAAATCGTGGTGGTGAGGCGCTAAATAGAGTAAGGAAAGGAAATCAAGAACCAACTGCAGAGCAAGCAGTTAAAAAATATATTTGCAGAGGGGAGGGTATAGCTCAGTGGTAGAGTGTGTGCTTAGCATGCACCAGGCCCTGGGCTCAATCCCCAGTACCTGCATTAAAAATAAGTAAATAAATAAATAAACCTAATTACCTACCCCTACCTCCCCCCAAAAGACAATATACTTGCAATTTTTTGAACTGAATTCTGTTTTTACATGAAAAGGAGTTAACTAATAAAAATGATCATCTTAAGAGATAACATGTTTCTTTAATTTTTTTGTTTTAATGGAAGTGCTGGAGATTGAACCCAGGACCTCATGCCTACTAAGCATGTGCTCTACCACTGAGCTATACCCACCCCCTCATGAGAGAACTTTTTTTGAGAGCTTACTGTATACCTGTTCTGTGTATATTAACTGCTTTAATTCTTCTACTAATCCTATAAGGAAGTTGTTATTAAATGAAGTAGGTTCTACATTGGAATCTTACTAATTTGTCTTAAATTGGCCATCTAGGGAGTCAAGTCTTAAACTGTACCTTTGTTTTCCTATTGTAAAATGACAATGCCAGTCTTCTTCTATGTGTACCATGATGATGGGGAATAAAAAGGTAGCTGAGAAGAGCTCTGGGTACTTCAAAAATGGTGGCCCATGATCCATTAACAAAGGACAGACATTTCTGCAGTGAGAGCACACATTTCTGAGAGCACTTTGCTGAGTGACATGTGGGAACCCTGGTGAACGCAGTCTCCCCTCACGTCATGTAAAATCGTTCACAAAAATTAAAGAATGTAAGATCATCCTCTTAATCACAGCTAAGCGCACATGCTTAGTATTTCTGAGTGCCCTGAGCTCGCTGGAGAATTTACTCTCAAATCTACAGCGGTGATTCTCTGGGAGCTGCCATGGCTTTTAATGAAGTAAAGAGCGCAATGTCCAAAATCTCAAAGAGTTCAGAAGACACAAAGATTTACATGATGAAGGTGTTACTTGCCTCCTTCTACAGATCCAAACCCAACATACACCGGCGGTGACCACAAGGAGGAGGAGAAGGGGGATGCTGGGGACGAGGATGTAGGCAAGATTCAAGGCAGCTTCTGAAAAGAAAGGCGTACATTGTCAGCATTAGTGATGTTTCTAAATCTTCAAAACAGGCTTGAACAATCATAATCAACACCAAGTATTCCAAGGAGCACATTCTGCAAGGAACAGATACACGGTCAATCCAGCCTGCAAAGTCTTCCAGTTTCAGTAAATGAGGATTTTCTCCCTGTCCCATTATCTGCAGGAATAGAGGGAAAAGAAGCTTACATTTTCAGGTCTCGTGCAAACGATAAGAAGGGTATTTCTGTGAATCAAATTTTTTTTTCAGAGGAAAGAGATGATCTCTTTTCTTGTCCTCCCTCTTTGTAAACAAGGCAGAGGCTGCTTGAGGGAAATGACGTCTTTGCGTCTAAGGACAGAAATGGTCGTTTCCAAGATGGGATTTAGTTGGGGGGGGGGGCGGGGAGTAAACCAGGAGTCTCAGTGTTATAACCAGGAATGAGAAGGTCACGTGAAGCATGCGAATCAGGCTGCAGAGCATTCCCAGCATTTCTGGCTCAGACTAACTGGATCCAGTCGGGTCCATGAGCAGGGACTGTGGAGGGCACTCAAGAGATCTCCCATCCTGAACTTTCCTGTCCTTTAAGCCTTAGAACCAGAGAATTTTCTCTCAAGGGGCTTTGGGAGGAATCAAGGATTGAGGACTGGCCCCTTTCCTACTCTTACTGGTCCAAGATTCCTGACCCATCCAGAAGTTGTTGCTTTGTTCTTCTGTGAGGCTGCAAACCTGACAACCACCCCAAAACCCCCAGACAAAACCCACTTTAAATATCACCGTGAATAACAATGAGCAATAAAAATGCTACCCACCTCTGCATAGCACTTTCTTCTTTTTCCAAAGCATTACATCTGTTGTGTGATAAAGAATTTGACTGGCCTTTGTCCCTCAGAGGGAGGCTCTAAATCGTTGGAATTTCTCAGGTAATAGGAGCGACTTTGTTATTCATGAGCCCCTTAGACCAGATCAGAGTTTATGTTGACAGAGATGACACAGGATAGAGGGCTGGTGGGGAAGGAGTGGGGCCTAGGGGATGAGTTCAATGACACGGCCAATGATGGGTCAATGATCAAATCAGCTGTGCTGTGTAATGACAGCTCAATAAAATCTCTGCACACCAAAGCTCAGGGGAGCCTTCTGGTTGGTGAACACGTGGATGTGCCAGGACGGTGACAGGGCCTCCTGATTCCACAGGGAGAGGACACAGAGACTCCACTGGGACCCTCCTAGATCTCACCTTATGCGTTTCTTCATTTGGCTGGTTTGCATCCTTTATAACAAAAGGCAGTCACAGGCATAGTGTTTTCCTGAGTTCTGTGAGTTGTGCTAGTGAATAACTGAACATGAGGGGGTCGTGGGCACTCCGAGTTGATCAGAAGTGTGGGTGGCCTGGGGACCCCTGAACTTGTGCTGATATTGGAAGTGAGAAGCTGTCTTGTTGGGGACTGAGCCCTTAACCTGTCGTGAGCCCTGCTAACTTGGGGTGGCTAGTGTCAGAACTGAACTGCAGTATTGCAATATCCTATTTCATTTTATGGACACAGTAATGTTCTCAGGTAGGTGAGAAAAAAACTTTTTTTCCCATTGTACAAATGATTAAACTGAAAAATTAAGTGATTTTTAAAAAGTTGCTCAGTGACAAACCCCCAGATCTTCCTCTTTTTGTTTTAATTGAGATCTAGTTGACGTACAATATTATGTTAGTTTCAGATGTATTATGTATTGATTTGATATTTGCATACAACATGAAATGATCACCACAATAAGTCTAGTAACTAGCCCAGACTTTCCTCTTTAACCCAAGGTGAGAGTTGAGGCTGAAAGTACATTAGCACTTGGGGGAGGGTATAGCTTAGTAGTAGAGCGCATGCTTAGTATGCATGAGGTCCTGGGTTCAATCCCCAGTACCTCCATTAAAAATAAATGAAGGTAGTTCCCTGCCCCTCAAGAAAAAAACCAAAAAAATTTTAAAGTCCATTAGCACTCCTGTTTATCACCCCATTTTCTTTTATCTTTTATGATTTAACATTTAAGATGTTTTGCCCATTTCCTCTATTTGTCTCACAAATGAATATTAATCATGGCTGTTATGCATCATGGCCTGGGTTTTTCTGCTCTTATTTCTCTACATCCATTCTCTAGTCCACCCTATCCCCCGACCCCAACACCCTCCTCCACCCTTCCCACCCAGGCTTCTGGGTGGTTCTCAAGGCTCCCTCCCGCTTCATGCAGATATTCCCCTCCTGTCTCGTCTGATCCCCTCAGTTGTCTTAGGATAACTCCATTTGCATATTTTATGGATGAAATCTAACATTTAATGCAGTTTTTACAAAGCCACAAGTGCCCTGTCTGGTTCCATTTTTAAGTAGCTGTGGGAAGGAACAAAGTAGGGAATGTAACCACGAGTAATTTGTGATCAAGAGAATCCAGTGATCTGTTTTTCCCTGGGAGAGTTCTGTAGATACCTTTGCTTTCTTTTAGTGTTTCCGTGGCATCTTCTTTCTCTGTGTCTTCTGGAAGTATGGGTGTCGCTGGCTCCGTTCCTTCACCTGGAGAGAGACACATGGACTTGGGAACCTGGAAAAACACATCACAATCTAGATGTTCACTGAGGTCCTACCAGGTTCAGGGTGGGATGCCAAAAAGCAGTACCAGTGTGACCAGTGCCATTTATAAACAGACAAGTAAAGAGCTGAATTTGCTGGGCTAGAGATTTACTTGTCTTCATCTTTCCGGTGCGACTCTTGCTGCCAAGAATCCCGTACAGACACAACCAGCAGGCAGCTGGCATCAAGGCTCATAAGGTACTGAGGTGCCAAGGGGAAGGGCCAATGACTCACTTCTCAGACCATAAATTATCAGTGTGGCTCACTTCTTGTCTCGTTAGATTGAATTATTCCTTTCACATTGTCAATAATGACAAGAGACATCCCAAACTGAATTTGCAGCTGTTCCCTTTCAGACATTGGAGAGAAAGGCACCACTGGAGGTGAGATGAATGAACCACTTGTCATGACCAGGTGTGTATGTACCTGTCCAAATGGTGAAGGTTAATACCAGCGATCTTTCCATTGAATATTCTAGTCTAAAGAACACATGGTTCTAGACCTAGAAAGAGAGATTGTGAAACAGCCCACATTAACCCAAATCTCAAACGACAGTCTTACCTCCAGGTCTCGTAGAAGGAGCTGTTGGCTTCTCTGCAGCAGAAAGAAACAAGAATGAGAATAATAACTAAATTTCCACACCACCTGGATGAAGTTGGCAAGAGCATGGTCTTCACTGACTTGCTCATTTAGTCATCTGGTAAACCTTATTTAGTGTAATCAGACACCAGGAACTAGGTTAGCAAGTGCAAAGAATCACTTCTGCACAAAGGCTAGCCTTCCCCCGGCTTTACCTGGGTACTTTTTTTTTTCTTTTTAAATAAAGTATTTTAAAACTTTTAAATATGAGTATTTCCAAATATACCCCAAAGTGGAAAGACTGGTGCAATGAAGCCCTGCGCACCATCAAGCGGCTTCAGCTCTGATCGATGTGCGGCTGGTCTGGTTTCAACTGTCATCCCTACTCTGTCCCAGCTACTCTGTCCCTGGACTGTATTAAAGCAATCCAAGACATTTGATTGATTCCTATCTGGGATGTTTCAGAGCAATAATCACTGATCTCGAAGCAAGGGACTCTCTGGACTGTGTCATTGGGGCTCCCTTTTTGACTGGACTTCACCAGTGGGAGGCAGAGGCATTCTCTCAGTTCCACTAAAACCGTTCCCTCCCCTTGCTCCTGGAAGCCTGGGGGTAGTGACAGTTTTAGCTGGTCCCCGGGCACTGCATCCTCTTGTGCCCTGTGCCCACACCTCTGCCAGTATCATCGTAGTGTCCTCTGAGCGTGTCATCTCTTTCCTGCCAGGACTCAGTCTAACACAGGCAATAACAAAATTCATCAAGAACATGATTCTAAAAGACTAACTGGATTCAAAGTCCCAAAATAAAAGGATACGAAAACAAAAGTCAAAACCTCTCATTTCAAAAAACATTTAAAAAGCACAAACGTTTAAATCACAGAGATCATAGGATGTAATGAACAAAAGTGATGGGTCTTGCTTCCATTGCTCTGAAAAGGTGCCCCGCTAAGCCAGCCGCGGTCCTTGCAACCTCCTTGCCTGAGACAACTCTGTACGGTGAGGAGGGCCAGGTCTCTGGAGAGGAGTTCCTCTGCGTGGGTGAAGAGGGCACAAGAAAACACTTTAGCAGCAAGAGCAGTCAAATTCAAACAATTTTAAAATGACGGGATTGTCTGGTCCCCAACTAGACATAACTAACAAGTCACTCTCCTCTTGTCAGGAGAGGATGCTGAACTGAGGTCAAGCAGTTGGCTTCAGGGAGGTGGAAAACTTCAGTGACAGAGCAAAAACCATGGCATGTCGAGATCAAAGTCTGACTTAATGGAGGAGTTTGGGAAACCCTGGCACAGTGAGACTGCAGACTTGTAGCCAATTCAAAACCCCTAACAGATCTGGAAGCAAATTCCAGTTGAGTTTACAAGGCATTGATAGAGGGTGGCCTGAGGAGTTTAAACCTGCCCGTCAAAGTGCTGCCATCTGCCCAGTGCCGGTAAAATCGGTGTCCTTTATCATCTACCTCTTTTGGTTATTCTGTTTCCTTAAAGCCCCAGAAAATAATCTCACATGGCTGGTAGAGAGCTTGCAGGAATAATGGCCAGCATCCTTTCCCATTTCTCCTTCATTCCAAGTTCCTACAGTGTACAACCTCACATACAGAAAGAATAAGAATTTGTAATTGTCCACTGAAGGGGCTTTTTGTTTCTTGCAATTCTCATAATTCTTGTTTTCTCATACATACATCAGATCCTTTCATTTCATCATCCCTCTCGTAGCATCGGATACCTCTCTCCTTTGCTACAATTACTCCTCCGTGAGGAAGCATCATTACGTTTCCCTTTGTAAGAATTCCCAATGTTTAACTGCTGGCATTTGCAACACTCTTTCTCAGAGACCACACGACAAATTCTTGGAACCAGCAGCTGCTTGTGAAATGAGAGAGGAGGCTCAGAATGCAGCCACATAACTTGGGAGAGAATTCATTACCATCGGAATACTTGCAAATGAAATTGTTCCTCATGGTGCATCGGTCGTCATTCCACTGGAACATGTAGGGGCCCCCGATGCCGGCGGGGGCTGATGGCTGGTGGTACATGACCACGCAGACCTCACTGCCGCACGAAGGCTCATCCACGTACCAGTTCCTGCAGGAAAGGGGTCAACAGTGGCAGCAACTGGAGCAGGATGCTGCAAGCCTGCAAAGCCTTGGTTTTCCCATCGAATTCCACTGAGCCACAAACTTAAGAGAGAGGGAGGAATTGAAGTGTTGCCAATAAGCAGAAGCGCACGCTTTCTAGGACGGACATCACAATCAGTCATCTGACATTTGCCACAGCCTCTCTGCAGGGAAGAATAGATTACCATATAATGTCTGCAAAGTAATTATGAGAAAAAGCAGCCGGCAGGGCCAGTCTGGACAGTCTGATTTCTTTTTTGATTTTGGCTAACTGGATTTTCTTCCTTTGTTTCTTTCTTCTTTTTTTTTTTAAGACATCAGATGCGCTGAGAAGAGGCATGGCTTATCTCAGCCAGAGCTTGCCCTGCTCCCATCGCCCCATCCTTTTCAACAGTCATAACTGTCTTTCTAGCTCTAAGGAATAGATAGAAAATTCAAGCATCTGAGCAAGACTTTCCAAAATGTGAAGGCTTCAAAGCAGGAGAAGGGGTGGGGACAAGAGTGGGAGGCCCACATTGTCTTTTTCAGTTTTTAAGTTGTTCCCACTTCATCAGGCTGGTGAGCCCTGTCAGCCTCTGCTGCCTGATTTCTTGTCTTGGTCTCCCTGGCTCCTGGATGGGGTGCCTTAGCAGCCTTGGGGGTACTTGGAATTAAATGGTGCTGCCATCTCGTTGGGTATGTGGGTGCCAGGTTAGAGCCTCTGATTCCATAGATAGTCTAACTGCTGCGGGCACCCACCCTGCGTGCTGACTCCGGGCCCGCCTTGGTAGTCTGCTGGGTTACCCAGCTAAGCTGTCTCCTTGCGGGACCCAGATCATGCCCTGATGCTCAGACTTTAGCTGAGCCCTGCTGCTCTGCCTAGCTCTTGTTGGAGCCCCTTCTTAGGAGACAGCTAAGAGACAGGTCTCCAGGTAGCACCCCAGTACGGCTCTGCTTGCGTCTTGTGCTGCCGTCCTCCAAGAGGAAAATCCTTTCCTGCACCCACTGGGTTGAGTTTGCCTGGATAAGAGCTGAGCTTGCCACACTGCTCGGACACTGCCTGGACAGCTGGGGACCCTGCCTGGGGCTGGGCTCTGCGCCTCATTAGTTACCTCTGGGCCATTTCCCAACCCTGTTGGTGGACCTCCTACCTTGACTTGTCTTGTCCTCCTCCCCACCGGCCCTCTAGCTTTATGTTCTTTTTCTCACAGATGATGGAATGGATGCAATATTATGCTTGGCATCTAGTTTCTGGACTTGAACCAGCTTTCAGGCTAGGAACTTGCTGCTAGAAGGAGGAAGGCCCTGCCACACCATGGCCAGTGCACATGGTAATAATTTCATCTATTCTCCCAAAGGGACTTATGGCCATTTACTCAAGTAACCATATCCTGGGGAAAGAGAAATACCCAAATATTACAAGGGCAGTTGGACACAGGGTGCAAGTCAACCCAAAGACTTGAAGTGTTATTAAGGCTACCCATTTGAGCGGGAGCGTATCGAGGCCAAGTATTAAATGGGTTTCTGGCTCAGGATCAGCTCCCAGTGGGATTCATCCAGTGGTCATTATTCAATCTCAAAATATATGAATTAAAAACCTATGGGGTAAGAGCTAATAGTGGAGAAGGTCAAATGGAAGCCTTTGAAATTGCACTCTTCCCCATCCTCTCCAAGATACTAAATAAAGACCAGTGTCTTAACTAGATGAAGATGACAGAAAGTAGTGCCACCTTTCAAGACCCAGAGACTAGGAGAATGGTATTCCCTGTCATGTCTCTATGTAATTTGCTAGTCTGGCTCCTGCAAAAATCAGGCAGTCCTGAAGGATGACAATGGAGTAGCACAAACTGAACCCAGTAGAAGCCTCCATTGCAGCTGCTAAGCCTCATGTGGTATCTTTGCTAGCGCTGGTTAACGTGCCCTTGGGTCCCTGGTTTGCAGATTTGGCGAGCACATTCTTTCTTATCTGTATCAGAAAGAGAATCAGAAACAGTTTGCATTCATCTGGAATGGACAACAGGGTACACTTACAATCTTGCCTCAGGATTGTGTTAACTTTCCTACCTGTTGTTACAATATGATGTGAAGAGACCTGGACCGTCCTGGTAGCTTGCAGAGAATCACACAGGTCTGCCATGTTGCTGACATCATTGCTAGATGAACAAGGACTGGAGGCCTTAGTAAGACTCATGGGCTTCAAGGGTTGGAGACAAACACTCTGAAGATTCAGGGCCCTGCTACTTTGTGAAAATGTGCAGCTGTCTTGTGATCTAGGGAACGCCAGAACATCTCTTTCAAATTAAAGGATAAATTACTGCCTCTTAGAATAATATGAACCATCTTGCAATAATTTGAAGAAGGAAGCATTGCACTTGGCAGGCCTCTTTGGGTTCTAGAGGCTGAGTATTTCACACCTGGAAATACTGCTTGGCACATTTATCAGCTGACATGAAAGACAGCTGTCTTTGAGTGGGGCCTGGGGCAGAAAAGGGCTCTGAAGCAGTTCTAGGCTGTGGTGTAAGCAGATTTGCCCCTTGGGCCACATAATCCAGCAGACCCTATTATTAGAGGTATCAGTGGTGAGAGTAATAATGCCACATAGAATGAGCGCAAGCCCCAGTGGCAGAATCACAACGCAGACCCTTAGGATTGCATGCGAAGGCCATATTATCTGTAGCTGAGACAAAAATCACCTTTTGCCAAGCAAACCCTGGCTTGCTGCTAGGCAAGGAGCACCAAGAGACCATGCAATCCAACTTGTTCATCGTGACTGAGATACCGGAAGACACACCTCGTCAGAAAAATTGGGCAGGCCTGGAATCGATCCATTATAAAACAGGACCGAAGTGCACAGCATGAGCACTAGGACAGACGGCCAGGACATCTCCCGCTGTGGAACAGGGCCTGTCTCCCAGCTTACTCCTGGAAGGGAGTCCGTCATGACTAGCTCACAGACTCAGTCTCAGCTTGGTTCATGGGTGAGTCGGCCACGCGTCAGGGTGCAACTCCAAATGGGCAGCAGCTACACCACAGCCCCACTCGGAGGTGGCCTTGAAAGATCAAGTGGCAAGGAGACGTCCTCCCGATGGCCAGAGCTTAGCTGGTGCCCCTAGCTAGCCACCTTATATGAAAAGAGAAGTAATTGGAGGTTAGAATATATAAAAACTCAGGGGTAAGGCAAAGAGCTTTGCCAACTGATCAGGAGTCTAAGAAGAGAAAGGGTGGAAGACTGGGGACAAGGTGTTCTTGGATAGAGTGATGTGCGTAGACATACAGGAGGAGACATCAAATATGCAAATCTCTATGGTAAAGACAACCAAGAGGTATCTAGCATGGAAGAGGCACTAAACAACCCAGGAGACAGAGTGATTCAGCCAGCTGATGTCAGCCAGCCTGTTACCAGCCGCCCCAGTGCTGGTGTGACGGATACATACTGGAGTAGCTGTGGTAGCAGGGATGGAGGCTATGCATAGGCTCAGCAGTATCCGCTCCCCATCACCAAGGCTGATCCAGCTACTGCCCAGCATTCAACCTGCCAGGAACAGAGGCAAGACTAGCATTGGGTGGCAAGTTGACTACATTGGACTCCTTCCATCCTGAGAGGGGCAATGATTCATGTTGATAGGAAGAGGCACACAATCTGGATATGGGTTTGCCTTTCCTGCCTCAGGGTCTTGGCACCACCATCTAAATACTTACACAGTATTTGATCTAACAGCACAGCATCCCATATAACACCTCATCAGACCAAGAGACATGCTTTATAGCAAAGGAGATGGGGGAGTAGACAGGGAGTTTACTAGTTGTATCACACGTTTGGCCATCCTGAAGCTGCCAGTCTGACAGAGTGATGGATGAGCTTGTTGAAAACACAGCTGAAGTACTACCTTAGAGGCAATATTTTGTCAAGATGGAGCACCATCCTCCAAGATGCAGTGCACACTTTGAATCAATGACCTATGTATCATCCTGTGTCCCCGTAAGTATGCTGGGGTCTAGGAACCAAGGGGGTGGAAGCCCTGCTCACCATCACTTGGGGAATTTGTGCTTCTTGTCTCTGCAATGTTGAGCTCTGTGGGTTTAGGGGTCCTGGTACCCAAAGAGGGCATCCTTCCACCAGAAGATCCAGCAAGAGTCTTACTGAACTATGAGCTTTGGCTGCCACTTGGGGACCTGGGATATTTGTGTCCAGGGACCCGCAGGCAAGGAGTCATGATCTTTACAGGAGGTACTGACCCTCCTCATGACGAGAAGGCATCTCTGCTATTACACGTTATAGGCAGGAAGAAATATGTTTGGCACCCAGGTTATCTACTTGGGTACCTGTCGGTACTCACATGCCTAATTTTGGTGGTAAATGGAAAAGTGCAACCACTCCAGCCCGAGAAGTACCAGCTGACTAGGGCCTCAGGGATGAGGGTCTGGGTCTCACCACAGGTAAGCAAGCCATTGAGGCTCCCTGAGCAGAGGGTGAGGGGGAATGTAGACTGAATAGAGGAGGAGGGAGGTCAGTAGGTATCACTCATCTGGGACCAGCTGCAGTGATGGGGAGTGTGGCTCCTCCTACTAACCTTCCTTTTTAGAGTTTCTCCCAGAAGAGAGGCCCATGAGGCTCTTGGAGGAGATACTGCCGGAACTTAGATGAAGGGGTGGATCTGATTAGCATAAGCGTAACGTGGACTTGGATAGATACTGACATGCTGTCTTAAATGTATGTTCTAATCTTCATTCTTTTGATTGAAAAGGGGTTTAAACTACCCCCCCCATATTATTGTTTACAAATTAGATTTTCTATTTTGTGAACTGTTGTTTGGGGCCCTTGCCTCTTTATCTTTTGGGGTTTTATTGACTTCCATAAACATCTAGTGCTTTATTGACTTTTTAATAAAGTCTTCATTGTAAAAAGATAGTAATTCTGTTAACTTTGCTACATTTTCCCAGTCTTATATCTGCCTTTTACTTTGGATATGTTTGGACATTTTTCCATGTCACTGCAATTTCTTAAGAAGAAACGATGGCCATGCCACAGTGCTGGGGGTGGGTGTGTGACGTGAGTCCAGTGCGGTAACTGCAAGCTTCCTTAAATCCCCTCTTGGCCAATGCAGAGAATTAGATCTTGGCTCTAATTTCTTGCCCGTCATTCCTTGTTGTCTGGGGCCCTATCTTGAATCTTCAGCCCACAGGCCTTTAATGTCTCACTAGGGTTCTAGTCCAAACGGGCAGATAGGCAGAACCAATGGCTTCAAGCATCGTGTACCATTGAAACAATGCTTCTGGGCCACACTCTCCTGAACAGAGCTCTCAGGACATGAGTTGGGCCCCAGTTAGAGCTCATTCACCACCTTGGCCACTTTGGTCACTGGCTATGCCAGTACTGTTGTCCCTCAGGGTTTTGCCTGCCCCACTAACCGGGCACCGTGGCTCCAGCCTGCCTCCTTTCTGAGTCATGCGCAGTGAGTTAGCCGCTGTGAGTTCACACACTTACCTAAATGTTGCTGTGCTCCCGTCGGTCCAAGCGTAAAGGTCCCGGCAGGCCGTGCCGTTGCCCCGTTTCTCCTCACCCCTCCTGAGCCCGATCCAGAAATCGCCATCAGATGCCAGCAGGTTTTCAATGAACTTTTCTATCAGTCTCTGTTCATCTTCAGACTCGATGCTGACGAGCTGGCCCCCATCCCTCCTGCAGGCCACTCTGGCTTCTTCAAAGTTCAGTCTTCGAGAAGCATCATGGGAATAAATGACTTTGTAACAAGGCCGCTGTGTTCCACCCCGGCACACCTGCTGCCCTAGAGAAAAAAGAGGCCAACCTGTTTCAGTGCCCCCAGAAGCCTACCAGGGCCGGGCTGCTTGGAGGCACCTGAATGAAGCTACCCCCAGGCAGGAATCTGACCACTCATCAGTGGACCCTTTTAGTGTCACTTAGGCTCTCAAAGCAAATGAACATCCTGTCGCTGCATGAGGATGCAAACTAAACTGTGTAGGAACTCCATGCTTTGTTTGTTCCATTACAGATTACTGAAAAGCAAACATTTAAAAATTAAGTTTTAAAAAGGAGGTAGATGAAGATGTATGGTTTCACTTAAAGGCACACAGATAACACTTTCATGCCATCAGGGAGCCTCAGGGGGTAGTGTGGCTTAAAGTCAGTTATCTCTGTTTGGAGGTTCCTTTAGGTAGGAGAGGCTTTCTGATGTCAAAGGTGAGCTCCTCTACATTGGAGCCCTCTGCCTTTGCAGAGGGACTGAGAATCACCCAGTCTATGGTATAAGCGGAAGCTAAGAACATCAGAGCCGTGGGGTTTTCCGCTACTGATCTCGTCTAAAGACATCAGCTAAGGTTTACTGAGCTCTCACTATGAGGCATGTCCTATGCTAAGGGCTTTTATATTTACATACGTACTTCATCCCACTGAATGCTTATAATTCCGTGATGTAGAGATTGTTTGTGCCCCATTTTACAGAATGGAAAACTGAGGCTCAGAAAAATTAAGTAGTTTTGCTAAGGTCATATAAGCTATCAGTAGCATCACCTGAGTCAGAGCCCTGATCTAATTACAAAGTTACAGCGTAACCACTGAGCCGTGCTCTCCACGCCACCCCAGGCTCACGTTGCACTGGGAGTTCCTGTCATGTGTCTCATCTGATTGATACCTGAAGGCCTGAAAACCGTATAGGGCAAACGGATGGGATTCTACTGAGGTCGAATGACAAATCCGTTCACCACTTACCCACCACCCTAGCTTGTGTCTGGGTGCCTGAAGCCTTGCCACACCAAAAACATTAGCCTCATCGCTCCTTTGTTCAATCAGCATGTACAGCGTATACTGCTCTGTGTCTGGTGTTGTGCTAGGTGCCAGGAATACAGAAACACATGCCACGTCCTTGCCCACAGGAACACACAGCATGTGTTTCTGAATCCAGATGTACAAGTGAAAACCTGATTTCAGCAAGGGGAATCCCTTGCAATGGAGAGCCAGATCGTGGGTCGGGGGTATGACCTGCTGCCAAAGAGCAAGGGATAAAGGATTTTGGTTTGGGAACCTCTTCCCAGCCATCATGGAATGTTCTCATCTTTCTAATTTGTTTTGCAACTGTGCAGGGAGCCAGATGGCGTTTGTTAGTCCCAGTACTGTCCAGAATACAGGGCAAAAGGCCACGGACAGTTAACTGCATTTTCAGTGCTAAATGGGAACAGAGCACATGCAGATAATCCAGAAAGCTCCTATGAATTCTTATTTTCTATTTCTTCTTTCATCGCTTTTGTAAAGAAATTCTCAGTGATCAACAAGTTGTAAAAGTTTTGCATCTTCTCCTCTTCTCTGTCATTTTTCTACAGTTGCTAGAGGAACTCTGACAGGATTGTTTCATCAGCAAACTAGGAGGCCTCAAAAGCAGGACATTTTCAGTAAGGTGTTCCAGAGAGACTGGGGACCACTTGTCAGCGAGGCTGTGGCTGGGATGCTGCCGCGGAGAAGGCGAGCCAGCCCCGCTTCTGTGAGTCCTTAAATGCAGAAATGAGGCAGCTGAGGGAAAATAAATGAGCCCTAGGAACTCCTAACCTGGAGCTGAATTTCCTGGCAGTCCCCTCTTTTCCATCGTTGGATTATCAAGGGAAAACATAATACCTTAAACGAATTTCCTGTATGGCCCAGCCTGGCCACACATCCCAGGTCAGCCAGTGAGCGCCAGAGAAGGCCAGAGCTGGAAAGAGGCCGAGGGTGCATCTGGTTCCCCTGCCTTCAGGAAGTGTCTCTCTCCTCTCATTTGCAGGAAGAGGGAGGGCAGGAAGGACTTCTGTTCCCCACCACCGAGGACAGAGTCGGTGCAGTCCTCAACCCAAACAGTCGAACTCAGCTACCCTGGTCTTTCGCAGCCCTGCATCTCAGCCCATCCGGAAACCAACTTAAGATTCTTTCAATCAGCTTCGGAAGCACGGATAAGAGTGGAGGTTTTCGTTTTCCTCCACCCTTCTTGGCCAATCTGTTGCCTGCGAAGGAAATCTGAGATAGGGGCACGGACATCCCTCCCCGACTCCGACATGCAGGACAAATGGAAGAGGCAAGAAGCCAGAGCACTGTACCTCCTCTGAGGTCCAAGTCTGAGGCTGCAGTGACACGACAGAAGGAAGGAAGCAGAGAGAGTCATTCCGCCGAGTCAGGCGGGGCTTGCCCCCGCTAACTAGGCTTCTTTCCCAGTCTTTAAGCGCTTTTCTTCCAGGCACTGGATCCTGCCACCCTCCCCTCCCAGAGGAGACCGGGACTAGCAGGCTGGGTTCCCACGGCACAGCGGATCCCGAGTCCCAACGTCTCCGGGGACAGGAGACCTCCCTCCGCGGGGGTCCCGGGGACTACTGCGCCGCGCTCAATGGAGCGGACAGAGGGGATGTCTACGAGAGCAGTTTGCTCGCTGTCCCGCCTGCCCTAAGTCTCCCGGTATTCCGGTGACTCTGGGCCGAGAACGGACTTTCAGCGATCCAGGACACGCAGGGAACCGGCGCAGCTCTCAGCCGCCGGGCGATTGCTCCCCTGGAAGCAAGGGGCGCCGGACGGCCGAGTGCACTGGGGGGGGCGGGGGTGCCGCCCCTACATCCACCCCACGTGGGGTCAGAGAAGAGGCACCGTGGCCCTGAAGCAGCGGCTAGGGTGCCGTGGGCGCACCAGACGAGCGCGCCCGGG